TAAAAAAGGGGGGGGGGGGGAAAAGCACATTTTTGGAAAGGAAGTAACACAGCTGGAGCTCGTATTTTCTGTTACTTTGAAAAATGACTGTAAGGTAAGAATTAGCTGGTTATTTTAGGGTTCCTCTAAATTAGCCTTGGATTTTCAGCTCTTCCTCCTTACTGAAAGGGCTGCTCCCTTCCTGTGTCTTCCCATCCATGCAACCCCAAAGGTTCTGCTCAAAGTTTTTTGGGTTTGTTGGGATTTTTTTTAGTGGAATTCACTTTGCTTATGAGTCAGAGATGCATGTTTTTTGCTAGATACTTCATGCTAAGCAGATAGGCACTGGGATTGGACTGATTTGTGGAGCTGGCACAGTAATTGGGGGCTTCTGTGAATGTGAGAGTTGAGTAATTTTCCTTTTTTGATACATAGCTGTCAGTCTTAGAGCTCTGTTCCTCTGTATCTTGTAACATGAACATCAGTGAAGTCCAAAAGTCTGCAATGCTTGTCTGCCTGGAGGGATCTGATGTAACAACCTGTAACTTGGCTTAGCAGCGGATGCTGCTAAAGCAGATGATGTAAGAGTGTGTGAGATCATTTGTCATGGTACCTTGTTTTTTAGAGGAGGACTGCTAGAAAGGTGGAGTCTCTTGTGCTCTGAAGCCCCTGTAAACTGAGGTGAATCAGGTGCAGAGATTGTCTTATCCCTTGCATCTTGCAACTCGCAGTTCTGAGTTCTGTTTCCATCCAAAGCAAAGGTGATGTCACACGTTGAAGCTGAGTAAAACTGGACAGATGGTGTCTCATGGCTTATTGAACAGTGCCATCCTTCTTGTCCTTCAGGCTTTTGACCTTGTTCTGTACTTGTAGTAGAAGTCTGCTCACTTTAAAAGCAGTCACTGCAGTTTGCTCTTTTGTCTATCTGGGCTTGCTCTGATATAAATTATTGGCATCTGGCTGGAAGCTGAACACAGCTGATTACTTGCACTCAGAACTGTGTTGGCCTCTTCCCAAACACCTCTCAGTTTAAAAGTAATCTCCTTTGTTCCCTTGTATTTTCAGGTGAACAGCACTTTTGGTAAATCAGCTGATTCACTGCAGACAGATGGAACTGAAGGCTTATGTTTGTGTACCTTAAGTAAAGTTTTATAAAAGTTACCAGTGCTGTCAGTCTCTGACAATTAAGGAAACAATCCTGTACGTTCTGTAAAGTCTTTCTTTCAAATCCTGTCCCGAAATGTTATTCCTAGCAATTTCCTGGAGTGTCTTTAGCATTGTCTGCACAGCTCCCTGTCTATGCTGACAGCTATGGTAGAAAAGGTGCCTGCAGGGCTCTTGCTTTAGTGTGAGCCAACTTAGTGTTGAACTGATCAGCAGCCCTAACCCACAGAGAAGTCTGGAGTCTTTCTGCTTCACTGACAAACTGATGGGGATGTCTCATCTTCTGAAAGAACAGTCTCTAGTGCTGTGATGGTGATTCCCATGCTGGTTTTGGCTTTGAAGCTCCTTTTCAGCACGTATTTTCCTGTTGTCTGGCATGTTCCTACTCTGCTTAGTTAAAGGCCTGAAAAGCTGCACACATTTTGAGCAGGCAGTACCTGCTTCTGGACACACGACTATACGCATTACCTGTGCTTCCTCTGCCTTTCACACTGCAAGATGGAAGAGCACTAAATGCCCTGTGAGTAGAGTGTGAGAGCTTGACTGTCTGAACAGAGAGAAAACATCTTACCCAAAATAAACCCCTCTTGGTCAGTATTGGTCCTGTATCTTAATTCCCCACTGCAAGGCATGCTACACACCACAGAGTTGCCTTGCCAAGTTTCCTTCCTAATCCTTCCCTCTCTTCTTTGCAGGTGGCAGGCCTAACCCTGCTGGCAGTGGGTATTTACTCTGCCAAGAACGCCACGGCAGTAGCGGGGCGATACATAGAAGCACGTTTGGGCAAACCTTCCCTGGTGAGAGAAACCTCACGCATTACTGTGCTGGAGGCACTGAAGCATCCCATCAAGGTAAAGTTTAGCATTGGTTTTGTGTTGCACTCAGCCATAAGGATGCAAAACTCCTTTTGCAGCTCTTTGTGTCAAAAACATGATTGATTTCTACGTCTCACTAATTGAATTTGTCCTCTCCAGGTTGGTAAGCGCCTTACCAGCAAGGCCCAGGATGCCCTTGAAGGAGTTGTTCTCAGTGTGAGTACTCTATTTGGCTATTTTCATCTGTGAAGGATGACTTTGGAACCTAAACAAGAAAGGCTGTTCCCTTGCACTCACTTCAAAAGCTGTAATTCCAGTAATTCTGGAGACATAGCACTCTTGGCACGCAGAGACCATAAATAGTCCTGTGTCCAGTGTGACATGCATTAAACACTCTTAACATTTTTCCTCTGTGCAAAGCAGCTGGAGTCCTTAGTCTTTGCCCTGCTGTCAGTGTGTTACTGTACAGATTTCCAGTATTCCCAGCTAATCTGGTAAGGATTACTGAACCTAGAGCTGCTCATAGGCCAAAAAGCTGAAGAATCATGCATTTATCCATCTTTCAAATTGTTCTTAACTTCCTAACTGGGGCTGCTTCTGTATATTTGTTTCTGAATTTGATGCCTGGATATCAGGCAAATTTAAGTGCTGAGAGAAAATACTCCTGCAGGAATAGCTTTCTCCCAGTACCTCTACAAATGCAGCAATAAGAATGAACACAAATGTTTGTGACTAACATGAAAGGATTAGTACTGCAAAGAGTTGCTTATGTTTTGACGTCTCTCTCCCAGGGCATCCAATAGGAAGGGAATATTTAGGTGCTGTTGGTTCTTACAGTAGTTACTGCACTGCTTCCTGCACTGCGGCTTTTTCTTACAAAAGAATTGTAGCCAAGTGGACAGAACTTAAAATTGACTAAATCCCAATACAGAAGGGGAAATGACCATGGTCTGAAGTAATAAGCAGCTGAAGTTAAGGCTTAAAAGCTTGAGACTGTAAGAATGCAGTACCCGCTGGTACTGATTTGTGAAGCTGACAGATACAAGTGTCTTGGGACATTCTGTTCCTTAATTTTAACCCTTTTCTTGCAGCCACAGTTAGAAGCACGTGTGAGAGACATTGCCATAGCAACAAGAAATACAAAAAAGAACAAAAGCCTATACAGGAATATCCTTATGTACGGTCCCCCTGGCACTGGAAAGACTCTCTTTGCCAAGGTAAAACCCTGCCAAGATTCTGACAACCTGCACCCTCTCTAGTCTGAACTCTGTTGCTGTAGTATTGCATAAACTCTGTGTTCTTGTGTGCCTGTTGGGAAGCGAGGAAAGGACATCCAGCCTGCTTCAGCTCTGAATTAGTACAATTAGTAGAGCTGTGTGTGGGCAGGAGAGCCCTTCCATCTGGAAAAGACACTTGGCAACTCTGAGTTGCAAAGTAGCAACACCAGCCTGCTGTCTCGTTTCCACCTCTCTTAATTTTATGCACTTGTCTAAATAGGGTCTTTCCTGCTGTCACTCACTAATCCCAGAGCAGAGAAGAGATAGGTATGGTTTTACTGCGTGTATGTGCTACCAGGATGGTTTTTGCATGGATTTGAGTTAGGATTTGATTTTTTTGACTTGCTCTTCACTGCTTGTCCGCTAAATCTGAGGTCTCCTATACTTATTTAACAGTGGCAGAGTTGATGTTGCTTAACAACTTGGCTTTGTTTCCTTCCAGAAACTAGCTGTGCATTCAGGCATGGATTATGCCATCATGACCGGTGGCGATGTTGCCCCCATGGGGCGGGAAGGAGTTACTGCCATGCATAAACTCTTCGACTGGGCGAACACCAGTAGGAGAGGGTGAGTAGAGGTTCCTCTGAATCCTGAATTTGGCTTCTTGCTCGGAGAAACTCCCTGCAGTGATGTAGTTCAGACTGCTGATCTCTGTTATTGAGTGATGCTCGTGCACAGATGAGGTAACACTGTCCAGGCGTTAACGTCTCCTAAAGTTTTCCTACAATGGGTGAATTCTTGCTGCTTAGTAATATTTAAAAGGCTGAAAGCTTTTGCTCTTCTCCCTCAAACACTTGGTTTAGTTCATAATTTCCAGATCAGTCGTATGCATTTATTCTTTGTTCTGATAAAATCTTCTGTGCATTTGACAGTTCAGAAAGCCATCTCTTGAGAGCTGTGATCAAAGGTTACGTGTGTCTGTATACATCAATAGTTTAACCTCTAGTAACATTAAACTATTAAAGCAGATTTTATTCTGAATACCCAACAACGTTAGCTGTTAGTACTGTGTTGCCTTTATTAGCTGAAAGCTGTTGTGATAGAAGGCGTTTCTCTGCAGAGATTAGAGCTGAGAATATTTTCAGAGAAACTGGAATTGAGTAGAAGATGTTAATAGGCCCTGAAATCACTTGAAAGCAAGCTGGGTTTGAAGCTAGACAAGAAGGTAACACAAGCTGTGACAGCTTTATGAGCAACTTGGTTCTGTTATTGATAAACATCTTTATACGCTTCATCTCTGGGGAAGAGCACTACCCTTGGGTTGCAAGTGAATTCATTTTGGTGAATTATTCATTGGCTTTATTAATTCACTTCTCCACAGGTCGTAAAACCATTATATTATTGCTAGTGTGGTTTGGAAAGAAAAAACCCAACCAAATAGCAAAGCAAATTGCAGGGGAGGACTCTGGTTTCAGGTTTTCAGAGTGGTATAAGGAAGAAAAATGGCAGGAGGATGCCATTATCACTGAGGTTCCTTGTATGCTTGTGTATCTGTCTTGTACCCTCGCACACATTTCTCTGAATAGGAGGGAATGCTGAAAAAAGCACTCTCAAATATTTGGGGAGCAGGTCTGAATTTCAGAGAGCTACTCCAGCTTGGCACTAGCACACCAGCACTGCTAGATACAAGCCCATGAAAACTCCCAATAACATTTAAAAACCTGGAGGAGGTGACGGTCAGGAAGCAAAACTCCAGAGCCCTGGAGTCAGATTTATGGCCTGAGGTGTCTTAAGCAAACGCCTCTTTCTTAACTGTTGGGTTGGGCCAAGTGTATGCAAAGGAAATGTTGCCTGGAGAAATGAATTTGCTCGTGTAAACCCTTTGGGTTTACAGCTGGGCACAGCTGTGGGCGCGTGGTAGTGGGACAGGAGAATCCCTGAGCTGTGTGAGCCTCACTTACCTGTCTCCTGTTACTGTGTAGTGTTTTCCTTTTACAGCCTCTTGCTATTTGTGGATGAAGCGGATGCGTTTCTGCGGAAGAGGGCAACAGTAAGTGCTTTATGTCTGTTCTCTGTGCATGCTGCACAGTTAGGCAGCCAACGTCATCTTTTTGGAGGTTTTGCAGGTGACTGGGCATTAGGAAAGAAAGAGAAAGATCTTTAAGAGAAGATTGTTCACACTGCAGAGCTGGTAGCCTGCAGGGTTTGGTTTTGATCCCTATAGATATTTATCTTGGGAGGTTTTTATAACAAAACTGCTTTTCAGTGCATTAACAAAGCTACGCTAGCATCCTCCCCTGTACAAATGATTTATGTTTTCAAACTGAGTCACCATATTGTACACTGAATCTGGACCTGCTGCCTGAACCCCAATGGTCTGTTTAAAAAGCTCTCCCTAGAAGACTGCTTCAAATGTGTAAATGAATTCTTTGCTGTGGCTTATTTTCCTGTAAGTGTCTTATTGCACTTCCCAGTTAGAACAGCATTCAGCAGGGAAAGCCACTTGGGCCATTTGTTAGAGCCTTGGGTTTGAAATCAAGAGAATCACTGTGGATAAATATTTAATCTCCCTGCTGGAAGCTTTAATTCCTACCTTTTTCCTGGGTATATAAATTGATCCTTTTTTTCCAAGGTATTACAGTGCTTTAGATTCTACTGCAATGCAAATGCTTGACAGTAACAGAACTCAGTCAATAATGCTGCTTAAAGCTGTGGCCTGTCTTAAGTCCCCAAGCAGCTGATCCTCCTTTGGATTTCATCTTCGCAGGAGAAAATCAGTGAAGATCTCAGAGCAACTTTAAATGCATTCCTGCACAGAACAGGGCAGCAGAGCAACAAGTAAGTATCCAGTTTCAGCCCTTAGAGCAGTTGATGCTCTTCAAATTGAGGAAAGTCTGTGAAGAGTCTGTGGTGTGCAAATGAAAGCTGGGAACATATGATCTGTGCTGCTCAAGACTTGAAACGAGTATCAGTATCACAAACCAGAAGGCAGGGTTGAGACTGGCTGGATGTTTTGTATTCTCTTCAAAACTGCTTCAGCTTGTGCTTGTTTGAGCCACTGTTCCTCTCCAGCACTTTGGTGGCCTCTTCCCATGCTCTGTGTGTATGTGTGCAGGGGGTGGCTGGAACTTTGAGGCAAATGAGTTTAAATCTGACCCTGGTTCTTCTGCATGAGCTGTCTGCTCAGTACGTCTGTGTGCAACAGTGCACATACATGTAGGAATCCCAGAGGTGTTTCCTTCATGGCTGCTTAATAGATTTGCTAATCACAGCTGACTGCAGGGCTGACTTGACAGATGTGCGCATGTGTGTGCGTTTCACTGCCAATCCATCCATGCTCACTTCTTCACATTAACGTTAATTTCCCACAGAGCACTGCGTAGTTTAACAAGAGCAGTTTCCTGGCTATCCTAATGGAGGGAGATGATCTTTCCTCAATCTTTTCAAATAATCTTTGATTTATGGGTTGTTTTCTTTTTGGTTGTGTGTGTGAACTTCACTCAGTTGTTAAAGTTCTTTTACAAAGACGTTGAGCCAACGAGCAAAGCTGTCTCTGGTATGTGGGAAGGGGAGTTTCTCAGTGACGAGCTCTGCTTTAGTAAGGTTGTAGAGAAACACCTCTAACAGTAACCTCTTGACTTTGAAATACATATTCCAGAAGGTCCTTGTTTTAGGACAACATGTCAATGAATATCAGGTTGAATGTCAATCCTTTATCCAAGCTGTGTTTCTGCAAGGGTTGCCTATAGAAAGGAGCAGGTCCTTGTCTAGAAAAGGAAGAGTTTCACGTCTTTGCAGCTCTTGGTTTGGTGAAGTTATCTTCAGAAATGACAGCAAAGAACACAGCCCCCTATAGACTAGGATTTAAATAGACTGCAAGAACGTCAATACTCCAATAGCTGTGGTTAAAAGCCCGTTTCAAATTGCAGTGTGCTGTTAAGCTGGTAACATCATTTAAAGCATTAAAGTAGAACTGGCATGGGGAGGAAGCATCATTACAAAGCAAAAGAAAGGGCTTCTGGCTTCAAAATGCAGCAGGAGAGAGCAGGACCTGGAAGGAATCTTCAGACACGTTCGGTGATGAAAAAGGGTCGTTGATACTGGCCATGGCAGGTCTCGATGTCCAGACTGGTTCACTGATGTTTCTTTTTATGCGTTTTTCAGGCTTTCTTCTCTTATTTCCTACTTCCAGGTTTATGCTTGTTTTAGCAAGCAACCAGCCTGAGCAGTTTGATTGGGCCATCAACGACCGAATCGATGAAATGGTGAACTTCGATCTGCCCCAGCTAGAAGAACGGGAGCGGCTTGTGAGGATGTATTTTGATAGGCACGTCTTGAAGCCAGCCACAGAGGGGAAACAGTGAGTGTCCCTCTCCTACCCTATAGACTTCTCTTTCTTTTACTGTTGTTCTTCATGCCCTTTTCTGTGGCTTCTGTCACACTGTCTCTAAACCCACTTTAAACAAAGATGCCTCTTGCTATCCTGTTTCGTTGTGCCACAAAATTGGGCTTTCTGGGCCCAGGAGAACAACTTCTGTACTCAGGCTGGATCTTTCTATAGAGAGTGATCCAGTCTGATCTTTGATTTCATTGTAAGAATTGCTCTTCACAAAGTCTGCCTCTGACCCTCCCGTCATGTGGCTATGTGTAAACTCATCTTCGTTACTCCGCTTTTCAGGCGTTTGAAGCTGGCCCAGTTTGACTATGGGAAGAAGTGCTCGGAGATCGCCAGGTTGACAGAGGGCATGTCTGGCCGAGAGATCTCTCAGCTTGCTGTGGCGTGGCAGGTAAGTAGGGCTTTTATCGCTGGGCTTCTTGGTTCGGTTTCCCTTTCTGGAAGGTTTGAGTGTTTGATGTTGGACTCTCAGACCTTGTCTCACTTTGGAAGCTTCGTTATGTCCATCTGGTAGTACTGGAGTGCTGCTGGCTCAGGGGGGGGTGTCAGAATGTCAGTTCCTCATCTCATAAATAGAAACAGTTTTATAAGCACTAATGGGAAATCCCTTACTGAGTTTAAGTACAGCAAGTGACTTAGGAATGGGTTTGGGCACATCCATCACTCATGTTCCAGCTCAAGAAGCTCAGCAGAGGAGATGCCCAATGTTGTGGCCCATAGGTTTGACAGCGTTAGGACACTAAAACATCCTGCCCTACTTTTGTTCTAAACACAGTTTTAGTGCAACTTGAGTAAGTGAAGGAACAAAACTGACTGGAAAACGGAGCTGAAAAGATGAGGTACCTCTACATGCTTGGTACCTATATAGAAATAAGAAATGCAGTCACTTTGAGTGCAGTTGTTCACGTGCTCAACAGCAGCAGCACTTTTTTATCAGGCTTTCACCCTGCTTTGTTACAGCTGCCAGTTTCTTACTGGCTTGTGTATTTTTATAAACTAACCTAGCAATATCAATTTAAGAACGTGCTCCAAATTGTCTGTTGTGTAACCTACTAATGTCAGCCTCCTTTCAGGTATTGTAAAAACAAAGGGGGTTTATTTAGTTTAGCAGTTCCCAAACATTTTACAAACCCTGTGCATTTCATTCCTCCTCCTCCTGTTTTTCCACTTTTAAGGAACAAAAAGTATTTATCCTTTCTAGTTCATTTAGCTGCAGTAGTCATGAGCTGAGGTCCAGAGCAGCCATTTGAGTGCTGTCAGTCCCTGTTCTCTTTGCTGTTAGCACACAGCTGTTAACTTTATTATGAGAGTTTTTCACTTTTCCCAGGTACAGCTGTGCTTTTTGTGGACTTTTGATTTGGAAACTCGGGATAAAGACCTGAGGTGTTTGTCATAAACTCAGTGACAGTGATGTGGGAGAGAAGGCAGACCATTAATTATCACAGAATTTCTTTATTTCTCTTGATTTAGAAGAGCACTCCCTTACCTATGTGTGTGGAAGGCTTTGCTGCCAGGCATTTCCTGTAATAAAAAGTGATGATAAATGATCCCCTGCTGTTTATCAGCTTTGCTTTTATCACCCCTTATCTCCTAGCTTGTCATTCCCTGGAAATGACCTCAGCTTTTATCATTTATCCTTTAAGGGATCTTGAAGGAAAGGAAAGATGGGAGTGAATAATTCCTTAGCATTGTTGCCCCAGTGGCTTTTTTTAAATGTACCTCATAGCACCAGAACTATTAACGAGGTTCAACGTAAAATTGCCACGGGAGGTTATGTTCCTCTCTGCTGTCATAAAACAGTCAAAGGGCTTTAAAAGAAAAAGATGCAGGAGATGATGAGCAAAAAGATATGAATTATTTCGATGTGGAAGCTGCAAGAAGCTTCATCTGTGTCAAGATCAAAGTTGTTGGTATTCTGGAAGGAGGGACTTCATAGGTCTTGTTGATGAAAGGAAGTTGATGTGCCATGGATCACTGTTAAAATAGCACATGGGTTTTGCAGTCAGTGGCTGGACGTGTTGGACTTATTCCTCAGGACATGACTGGGTAGACACATCCACCACAGCAGGTTTCTGCAGGCATCCCAAAGGGGTGAGCACTGAGCGCTGCCCTGGAGCTGCCTGCCAGAGCTGTTGATACGTGCTACTGTAGGGTTCTCTTTCAGTTACTGGGTCAAGGAATTGACTCTGCTCTGGGATGTCCAATGCCAGGACAAGGGGCAGTGGTCCCAAGCTGGAGCACAGGAGGTTCAAGCTGAAGATGAGGCCAAAGTTTGTCAGTGTGAGGGTTATGGAGCATGGCCCAGGCTGCCCAGAGAGGTTGTGGAGTCTCCTTGTGTGGAGACACCCAAAGCCCTGGCCGTGTTCCTGTGTGACTGCTCTGGTGATCCTGCTGTGGCAGGGGTTGCACTGGGGGAGCTTTCCAGGTCCCTTCCAACCCCTGACATTCTGGGATTCTGTGAATTTGGAGCTGGAGCTTGACCAGAGCTTTGCAGAAGGCTGCATTTAGGCCAGGTTTGGCCCATGGACTTTTGACTGTGGCAAGACTTGGTAACATCTGCCTTTTTTTGCCTATGTAAAGTATGACGGGTATTGAGCTTCAGTAGCTGCAGTTAAAAGGCTCTCTGTGAGCAGGTTTTTAAGTACTCTTAACTCAAGTTGATCTCCTGAATAATATCATTATTTTGGGGCCTGGGTCAGCACTAACAGCCGCTCATTATAGGTGGCTTTGTAGCTGATACAAAGCTCTCTCCTATCAGGGAAGGATTAAGGCTGCAGTTTGAGCGTCTCTGGCAGCATTGGTCCTGCCTCATATTCCTGCCTTTCTGCTATCAATTCCGTGATGCTGGTAACGCCTCTGTGTGTGGCTGTACCATGAACTGGGTCAGGGAGCTGATCAGAACTAAAAATAGCTTGGCAAGGCAAGTGAACTGCACATCTGAGGGGGTGGAGCAGGGTAGGTAGGGGCTCTGTGAACCAGCATCACTGACTCAAGAAATTGCTGCTCAGATTTTCCTCAGCTGGATGCAGAGCTGTGACACGGTTCCATACCACAGCTAGGACTGTTAACTCTTAAAGCCTTGGTCTTTTTAAGCTCCTGTACGACTGAACTTTTAAGATGCTGCATGCCAAAGATGGCTGATGTGGGAAAGCAGCACCTTTATGAACGCACACTTGAATTTTAATCATTTTTGCAAACTGGTACGTATGTAGTCCCCCTTGGATGTGGGGACCTATAAGGAAGCTACAAAAGAGCTTAACCTGAGGATCTGGGGAGCCTTTTCTGTGACTCTAGTTAAGGTGAACATCTGGACTTCCCATTTAGTTCCCTACTTGCAGTTGCTTTTTCTTTCCCCCCTCTCTCAAAGCATTTTGTCAAGTTAACAACAGAGGCAGGAAGAGTTTGAGATGATGACCAAGTTGAGAAGATAAGGGGCAGGAAGAGCCAAGAAAAGGGAAAAACAAAGTATTTCTTAACAGTTGGTTCTGATCTCAGTAACACCTTACGGAGCTGGGAAACAGCAGATGTGGTGAGCCTAGAGCTCTTCAGCAGTCCTCAAAGCAGACTTGAAACAAGGATGTCTCCAGACACTTAAGCTTCCAATGTTTTTCTAGACAGGCTCATCAGCACAGCTGCTGAAATGCAATATGCCAAAGGTCTTTGTTTAATAAATAAACACAATTGACCCACTCTGGGGAAGATTACAGCACAAAGCCCTAGTGAGAACTCCTGGTTGTGAATGCTGGAGCACGGAGCTGGATGGGAGCATCCTGTTTGCCTTTTTGTTTTCAGCTCTTTTGCATGGTGCCCTGATGTGACTTGGAGCTAATCCTCAAAGTGTAGGCTTAATTGCAACATGCCTGTCACTTAATTCACCTCAGCTTTGTATATACTTCTTAGTTTATTCCTCCAGCAGTCATCTGCAGTGTTGCTGTCTGTATGCATGACACCTCTGCAGAGATGTCTTACAACAAATCCTTAACCAGTGTCTGGACAACAGAGACGAATGCAGAGGGAGCAGAATGGGAGGTTTAATCTATGGTGAAATGTTGCTCTGTTCCACAGGGGCTGTCCAACCACCTCAAGCCTTGTTGCTTGCAATTCTAGTCCTAACCTTTATGTGATGAAACCTCATCAAATCACCAGTGAAGCGTAGGCAATACTAGGGAAGGCAGTGAGGAATCAGCATTGCTACTCCTGCTTCCACTCCTGAGTCTGCAGAAGTCCTGGAGGAAGTGGACAGGGAGCACAGGAAGGCATTTGTCATGGACTTGATGGAGTTTTGGGATGTGAGGATCCCCATCAGCTCTGCTGAGCTTGCTTGGGGTCACCTCCCATGGCCAGAACTGAACCTCAGAGATGGTTTGGGGAAAAGTTGAAGTTACAGAATCCCAGAATGGTTGGGGTTGGAAGGAGGGGATGTCTGAGGATCATCTCATGCAGCCTCATGCTAGAGCAGCAGGAGGGACAAGTTCTGAAGCAGTAGGAAGAGACAGTACCACAGCTGGCAGCTCCTACCCAGAGTGACCCAGAACAGCAGCGTGTGGCCACTCCGCTGTCCCCTGGCCTCACGGTCATTTCCCATGGCGATGCGTTTGGAGTGCTCTGCCAGTGTTGCTTTTAACAAAAACATCTCGCTTAAACTAGAAGCCTGAGCAATAGCTGCAGCTTTTGTAGGCTTGATTCCCCTATAAGCTGGGCTTGAAATGGATTGCTGTCGTTTACATGAAGTTGTACTTCACTGGTGTTCCAGTCTGGTTCGGTTTGTCCTGAATTTACCAAACAGAAACGATAAGATGAAGAAAAGCATCTGGGAAAAAACATTGCTGTCTGGCACAGCTAACAGTCTGCATGCTGGAAATCCATTTTAATCTCTTTTGCGGAAGACTCAGCATTCCCTTTTGTCCTTGTGCTTTTCCATTCCTCATATCTAATCCTTTATGAATACATCATGAATTAGATGCATTTACACACTTAAAAATTCCCTTCAGATCTGTTCACAGTCATGTGCAAGCTGCCGAGTTCTGCACCCTATACTTAAACACATGGGTATGCTTTAGATAAAATGTCAAGAAAAGCAACCTTTTGCTATTCCAAGCCGTAACCTCTGGAAAAATTGTTTTGGCAGCACTTCAAGAGAATTCTGAGGAGTTTTATGTCCCAGTGTTGATGATAGAGATGAGCTTCCCATCATTTCCTTGCCTTTTGTGCCACCGCCATAAACGCCTTTTTGCTCCCTGAACCTTTTTTATATTCAAAAAAAGAAGAGAAATCACCTGCCTGACCAAGTTATGGGAAGAATGTAATGTTTCTGCAGTGGTCTGAGCTGAAGGACATTATATGTGAGCTGGGTGGGGGGTGTGTGCTGGTGTTTGGGGGTTGGTTGGTTGCTTTTTCTTTTAGAGCAGGCTGTTTTCATTACAAATGTGATTCAAAGGATACAGATTAGCTTGGCCAAGTTAAAATAAACCATGGTTCTTGGCTGAAATGAAACCTTAGGTCACCTAGGACTGAACTTATCGTCTGTGCGGCATCCCTCTACTTATCCCCCCAAAATGCTTTGTTTTCAGATTATTTCCTAATTGGATTTGAGTTAGAAAACATGAGTAGTTGCACTGGAGAAAATGGGTTAAGATTTGCCCATGCAGGAGGCGGAGGTATGAATATAAATGAAGCGCTGTAGCATTTGTGTGTGTGTGCAAGCTACTCCCAGAAGGGACAGCTGCTTCACCCATTTGCTTTCTTGACAGCAAAGGCCCGAGGCTTTCTATAAATAGAAAGTCATTGAGAAAATCAACAGAGCGTGAACTGCACGGCTTTGCAGGAGTTTCCACAGTTGCAGTTCTGGTCTGTGCAGCGGCAGGGAGGAAGGGAAGGGAAGACATCCTCTCTGTGCACATAACACACAGCCCAGGAAAGCACTCGCTCCATTTTAAACCACCAGATCCTCCTGGCTGGAGGGCTGCTGAGTTCTCTATGTGCAGACCTTCTATTCCTTTGCCTGCAGTCAGTGTTTATTCCTAACTTGAAATAGGAGCATTAACCTAACTTGTCACTTCTGCCTTAAGGAAGGATTACGACGATTTTGCACAGGCAAGAATCCGTTTTGATGCTTTTTTGCAGTAAAAACCAGCGGCTGCCAGCTTTGTGGGTAGGTGTGGTTTGTGCAGTGAGACCTTTTGTGATCTAACCAGCTCCCCAAAAAGAGCTACCAAATCAGGGCTGGAAGGTAGGACTTTTCCCCCCCCCATTTCTTGAAAGAATTACTGCTACACCACTGCAAGAGCAGTAATCTAGCAGGCAGGTATAATCCACTGCACTGGGGTGGTCAGCACTGTGATCATATTGACCAGTGCAACAGCTTCTGCTGGGGTTTGTCTTCTCTCCCATCTACACCATTGGACAGAAGGGACATGAAATGGTCACACTGTCACTTCTTTCTGTGATGCCTTTGCAGTAAAACTCGCTGCTTGGTGTAATTGATGGCTTGCACCATTAATGATTTATGGAGCCTGTCTGTAATACCTCAGAAGCACATTTCAGCCTGTCACGAAAGGCAAAGTTCCTATTGCTAACTGGGATCGTGGGGAATGCCCTGCAGGCAGAAGGCTTGGCAAGTGACAGTCTGTGAGGTGACAGCTCTGAGGAAGGAGAGAGAAAGGGACAGAAATCTGGGGCTATTTGGGGCAGGCAGCATGGATTTGAGAAGCTAGACAGGATCCCACCCTGATTCACGTCAAGCTCCTTCCCCAGCAGAGCTGTACAAGGAACCACAGCAGCGAGTCGCTCGCAGGAGCACTTGCATAGGGAATAACCAGATTTAGAAATCTGTAGCCTGGAGTTGCTGTGTTACCTTGGAGATGGGTTGTGCAGCCAACAGCGTAAGCGTCCTTCCCTTCCTTGGAGGGTACGGCTGCGTGTGTTGTCATCTGCAAAGTGTCCATCAGCGGCGTCCTGGCTGTGGAGAAAAGTGACAGTCCTTTCGCTGCAGCCGAAGAGAACTGGCACTCCAGGTATCTGGAGATATTGTGGGCTGTTTGGCAACGATGTCAGTAGTTTTGAGCCCTTTCTGCAGGGAACTATGATCAAATCTGTGCTGTCAAAGCAGCAACAGGACCAAGCCAAACTGGAGAGACAGGAGAACAGGACTGGATGTTGTGCTAAGTAGTATGGGGGCAAACATGCATGGAGAAGAAAATGAGAGGGACCGGTCTCAGATCTTCACTGTTTTGGGGAATTGCCATCACTAACTTGGGTCTCTTCTGCCTTTGCCTCTTCAGGCTGCAGCTTATGCATCAGAGGACGGTGTTCTTACAGAGGCCATGATCGATGCCCGGGTGGCCGACGCCGTGCAGCAACACAAACAGAAGATGGAGTGGCTGAAAACAGAGGGTGCTGAAGACAGCAAAGGGGCTGGCACAAACCCACTGCTGCCTTTCCCCAAAGGAACACCGGTGTGAGAAGTCTGCAGGCTTCAGACCAGCATGCGTGGGGAAACGGGCATGGGAGAAGGCTGAGAGGGTCTTTTGGGCAAATATTTGGTGGAATCATACGTTGACAGAAATGTGTCCATTGGTGCAAGGGAGGGGGTACTGATTTCATGTTTTTAGAGTGCACTGGAAAAAAAATGGTTTCAATAAGGCAGAAGCAACTGTATTAAAGGACCCCCTTGCTGAAATACCACTGAGTGCATTAGTCTGTATGGCCTGTCCTGATGGAGAGCCCCAACCTCTGAATTCTTTTCAGCCATTTGATGGTGTTTTGGAGTGTCCCAGTGCCTGTCCAAGCCTGCATCTCCCATATACTAACTGAAGGCTTTGTGCTCCAGCAGGGTTCATGCTCTTTTTTTCACCCAGATCCTGCCCATGAGGTACCTCCTTGCTCACTTCTTTCCCTGTGATGTGGCCACATCTGCTGCTGCCTTTTGCCTTCTCTGTGCTGGAGTCTCCTGGAGGGTGGCTGTACAGCCAGCCTGCAGTGGTAGAGTGCAAGGGACCAAAAGCTCTGCAGGATGACTCCTCAGTGCTGAAGTGCTAAGTGTTCCCAGCCCCAGAGCTTTTATTTAGCACTGTACAGTAACTGTGCACACTCCTTGGATCATAAAGTGTTATTTGAAAGCACTGCCAGGTGCTTGGGGCCCTTCAGCCACTGCTGAGCTGCAGCAGGAACCGCTGCGTCCCAGGTTCTGATGTGCCTGCTCTGACCACACAGCCCATGGTGCTCTGCTTTCTCCAGCCAGGTACTTGGCTGCTCTTGCTGCACGAGTCCTTTGCTGCATTTCTGGAACAATTGAGAAATACGCCATTGTCAAGTCATGAGCGCAAGCCCATCTCCATCAGATAACGTTTGTTCTGTCTGTGTGTGTATCAGAGGTCAGAAAATCACTTATTTTGGTTCCTTTTTTTTTCCTGAGTTTGAACTGGATTTGAACTCTACGCTCTGCTCCGCATCCCCTTCTGTAACTACACTGTGCAAGCACACTTGTCTGACCTAAATCTCTGCCCTTGAGTACCTCGCTGAGATGTTCTTCTTCGACAGGAACTGACAGCGCTCTCTGCTGTGTCCATTGCACTGGTGGTTGCTGCTGAACTGGGAGGGCTGCACGCTGATGGGAGCTTGGGAGCGTGGGAGCAGAACAGGGCTGGTCACCAAGGTCCAGGAAGGGAACAGTTCCTGAGGCTGCAAACCTTCACTGTCTTGGGCTGCCATCTTATTGTAAATGTAGTTCTCTCCTATTTTCTATCTGAAGATGCGTTTTAGAAGCTGCTCCTCGGTTAAGGATGGGTGTCCCCCAGCAGTGGTGCGTGCCCAGACGTGCATGCCCCACTAACACTTGCTGCAAGGCACACGTGTATGTGCTCTAGAGGAAAGGGAGGTGGCACTGTATAAACTGAAACTGCACTTTATGTTCTGAACAGCTGAAATAAACTTGAATGCCATTTTTTCCCCTGCCCTTCAGCCCAGGTGTAGGTGTCCACTGATATACTAGAGGATTAGCTATTCTAGGCTTCAGATTTTACTAGAATTATATTTCTGTTAAGCCCCAAGAGATGAAGGCAGCTAAGCAGAGCCACGCTCCAATAAAAGACCCTTGTTAACAAATGATGTGAGGGAGCAGTCTGCTATTGCGTGATTAAAACCTCTAATTACGACATCCACCTTCAGCACTTGTCTTCTCCCTTCCATAATCATCCCCACGAAGCACAAAGGAGCTGGGAGGAGGGGGAAGGTTCTGGGTCTCATCCTTATGCTGCCTGACTGCGCTTTTGCTGATACCGGTAGCTGGGAAGTGAGTCCTGCTGCAAAGCTGTGCGAAAGGCGCAGCGGTTGCTGTCTCAGCTGTTTCAGGCGATTCCTCCTTCAGACTGCATCAGGTCCCTACATGGGAGCGGAGGGAGCGCACGGCGCTTGTAACGCAGCGATGAGCCGTGCCTCTGTGCTGTGCAGCAGTGCTTAATTGCAGGTTTGGGAGAGCAATTAGCTTGAAGGAGCCTCTTGCTGTGGCAGGGAGGACAGCAGGGAGCCCAGGCTGGGTTCTCAGGTTTGTCTGAGTACAGAAGTACTTCACAGGGGGCTTTTGAGGGCTTTCAATGACCACTTAAGTCTGTACCTGAGCTTTGCTGCATGGGCTTCATAGGGCTGGAAAGGGCTGTCCTGAAGCTTTGGAGAACTTGTGGATTATTTAGCATTGTATTGAGTGTGTATTGAGACATTGCTCTGGCAGGACTCCCGAGCTGGTGCTGCTTGTAGCTCATGGAGTAGAGTTCTTTCCCCTTCTTGGGCAGCTTGGAAGATGCTCCCTCTACTAAAATAAGTCTGTGTTCTTTAGCTTATTTTCCTTTAAAAGTTGAGGGAGGGCAAAGTAGAGCCACTTCTATACGTTATACAAGGAACTTACTCCTAGGAACAGGGTCTTTAATACACAGAACTCATCCTGCGTGTCTCAACCTCCGTCCACCCTCAAAATTCCTCAAGCAATCAGCTGGCCAGAGCTTTGCACATCTGCGCTTTTCATGTTTTGTTAGCGATGCAGGCTCCTGTGCAACCCTGGTGCTAGCTGAAATCCCAGGCGTGCAGTGCTTCAGGGCTCACTTGTTTCCTTCTCTCTGTCCACAGCCCCTTCCTGAGAGGTTGTGACAGCATCTGTGTGTCTGAAACCCACAGTGAGTGCTCATCCTCCTTTCCAGAGAAGCATGGGGTTGTGGGCAGAGCAGGCGCATCCCCTGGTCCCCTTTTGAGAGATCCCTGTTAATACAATGCCTGAAAGTCCACAATCGCTTCTACCCTTGGCAGCAGAAGGACTGCCCGATAGTACGGACACATCATTTATCACACTCTTGCTGAATGATGGATGTCTTACCTCCCACCTGTGAAGATGAGAAGGAGGTGGAGCAGAAAAGCGAGAGATGATCCTGATTCAGGAGGCTTGGGTGCTACACCAGTCAGGTAAGGCGGGTGAGGAGTGGCAGAGGTGGTGTACACAGCTTGTTTTGTCCAATGTCTTGTTTTCATCTCTTCCCGCTGCATTGAAAGGATGCCATGGGTTTCCACTTGCACAAGCCGATGCCATTTGTCCTTCCCTGACAGTTTTGGGAGCTGGTGGGGTAGGTTCCAGCCAAATAATCCCCTGGTTTGAGCCTGGCATCGCGGTGCTCTGGTCAGCGGCACAGGGAACACTGGGAACAGACAAAGCTGACATGCTCTGCAGTTCTGCACCTGGTCAGTCTTAATGCAACTTGGAACAACTGTCGCTGCCAGGCTTGAAAGTGCTGCTTGTCTCAGTGCTGGCGCTTCATTTTTTTTTACTTCCATGGGAAATAAAGTTCTCCATCCATCCTCTCACACTTGCACGCTACTCTCTCTTCACATCATGTGCCATGGGCTGTTGGACTGATGAAGCCAGCTCTCTAAATCCTGCCTTTGAAACGATATTCCTTGTCCCTCTTGCTGTGCACATCGCTCCTAGCCGCCAGCGAGGTGATTTCATGCCTTACTGCCCGCCGAACGGCCGTGCCAGTCGCTGTCGCTGCTGCTGCTGCTGATGTGGAATGCAACAGGGAAAGCGAAAAAAGGCCACCTGCCACTGCTCAACTCCTGCCTCGTCGAAGATTTAAATGCAGGGCCGCTGCCACCTCTGCCAGCCTCGTCTGTAAGTTTGCTTTGCTGTCAGCTCGCAGGATGAAGGATGTCCTTGTGGAGGTGGCACCCAGCTGGCTATTTGTTACCCCTCCGTGCAGGGATATGGGATGGCAACTCCAGGCTGAGGTTATCTCCTCTCCGTGACACTGAGTGAGTTATGAGCTAATAGCACTTTATTAAAATAGTATTTTGAATTGGAGAGCAAATCCAAGAGCAGATGGATTAGCAAGCAATCCATCACTCCCCATCTTTGCCGCTGCCAGCTGAAATGCTGCAGCTGGGAGACAGATTTATAGCATGGTCATCTATCTGTCCTCAGCTGGCATCCACTGAAGGATTCCTTTTGACTGTGATACACTGGGAGGAAAGCTTCATTGTCCGAGTACAAGGATGTAAGCGCCGCACACTTTCTCACCAGTGCATGCCCCGTGCTGCTGGACTTAGAGGAGACAGGAGTATCCCCAAGAAGTGTTCTTCTGGCAACCAGTGCTTGTGTTTGGAATGGAGAAGAAACACTCAGATTCCTTTATAATCCATTGTTTGTGGCTTTTTCCATTTTACTGCAACATTATTATTATTATTCTCCCTGGATTTTTTTTTTTTTAAGTGACAAATCTGACTTATTTGTCCAGCCTGCAATGCGAGTCACCGGCACCTCTCCTTGTCCGTGCCAAAGCCCTCGGTTTCCTCACCCTGCCTTCCTTGCAAGCAATGGCAGGAGAGGCTCACGCTCCTCTTTGGAGAGAGCTTGCACCCAGAACTTGGTTTTAACAGTAAAAATATTTATCTTCTTTTAAAATCAGCTTTGGACCTTAGAGCTTCCCTGTGTTCCCAGTGAGTGGGAGACGAGCAGGCTAAAATCTGGGACAGCATCCCATGATGTCACAGAAACTGGGGGAAATCGCACAGCCCTTCTTTAGAGATCAAGGCTGGGCACAGCTTTCCCCACACCCCGATTCGAGCCGTGTCTGCACCCCCTGCTCTCTGAACCCTGTGCCATGGAAGACCCCAGGAGAAGCATTCGGTTCAAAGGGTTGGAAAAAACACTCAGATGCAAAACATGCAAAAAACTATTTTACTGACAAACAGCAAAGGACGGGCTTCGTTTCAGGAGCTGAACCGGTTATCTATTATACAAACATATTATTGAAAGGGAAGGAATGGCTGAAATACACTTACTCATTGACCCAAATAAAATCACAGTGTGCTTTTTTTCTATTGCCTCCCCCACCCCCAAGCTCTCTGCGGCCTTCAGCTCTTCCCCTCAGCACAGCATTGTCACGACGCCCAGCACGGCCGCTGGAGAACATAAACCATAGGTGACGTTTGCCTGTGCAAGTGTATTTAATAAAAAAATTAGCCATTATTGCTTTTCAACCACAGTAGAGATTATTCTATGATTAGACTCAGCGCGGAGTATAATCTCTCTCTCTGTTAGTACCAACGTGTGTTG